ATGGAAACAAACAAAGAAAGAGTGGAGTGACAGCTTGTACAACAGTTCGGCAGGTACGTTTGCAGCCCCCCCCAGTGGCCTCTTCGTTGGCCATCCGCCACTGGGGAGGGGGATGGCCCCCCTGCCGAAGTTGGTTGAGAACCCTTTGTCCAGGGGTGGACACACACACACACGCACACCGGTTCGTTGGAACCCAGCCGGTGTGGCAAAGGAGTGAGCAAGACAAATGCCAAAGCTCAAGCGCTTCGGTCTTCATTTTCGCATGGCCCATGTGCTAGGCTGGTCGGACATTCCTTGAACAGAGTGTGATCAGGCGTGGACGGTGTTTTTTCCACAATGCCAATGATCCCGCTCACGGCCCAAAACAAGGTAACAAATCCAGCTCGCCCAGGATCATGAGGAGACCACGTTTCACGTTTCCCGACCAAAAAAAGCTTTCGAAGGACAGCAAACTGTTCCTGGTTCGCTATCTCGAAGAACACATCGCCCACCGCGGTCAGCTTCATTGGACTGGGCAGCGCCAAGCTGTCCGAGATCGAACACCTTTGTTTGGCCACATCCCATATGTTGGTTCTGCAGGTGTAGAGCAAGTTGTTCATGATTCACCTGATCATTGGGTTTCCTTGTCAATTAGTGCCCTCCTTTTCTCAAAGGTTTCATCAGGAGTTGGCAGCGAAGTAATTAGCTGCCGAGAAGGTGGTTTATTCACTGATGTAGCAGCCTGCTTCGGTGACATTGAGAAGCAGTGGCATGGACGTGGACACCATCTCCGCCAGCAGCAGCCAAGCAATGGCAGCTGCACAGACCCCACAAGTCAATATTCACCCGCCTGATGCCTTTTGAACATCCTGGGCATCCGTGAGGTGAGAAGCATTGACATCCCTTGACCAGTCACCCTCACTTCATACTCAGACCAAACCTTTTGTCGGGCAAGATTCGCGGAGTGCCCCGCGTGATGCAAGTCCAAGAAGCAGGGCTCCAATTCTTCGGTGGGAGCCTGTCAAAGTATCCGGCGGCGAAAAACGTTTGTCCCCGAACTCCAGGGTCTGGAAAGGTAGGCAAAGGGCATACTAGGAGCAAGGACGCGGGTTGCTTTACATAGGAGCAAGCAGGTGGCGGACAGTAGCAGTGTTGCTTGCAGGCATGCGTGCGTCCCTCTTGCAGGCATTCGCTGGTCCAATGACAGGGTTGGAGAAGTGGGAAGAAGTATTTTTCTAGATCTGTAGCTTGGATTAAGCATGACCAACGCTTGTAGGTTGGAGGCCATCGCTTGTAGGTTCGCGTGCTTCACGACCTACAAGCGATGTCACGACCTGTCTAGTCTTCCAAGGTCGCATCGGTCCGGACCTTTTACGGGAAGACACCCACATCGCCCAGTTATGGATTTGTGAAGTTCCGCACGGATGCGATGGCCGTCGCCTTAGAAAAATGCTCCTAGTAGCGTCCTTGCTCCGAGTAGCGATGCCAGGAGCCCTAGTAGCGTCCTTGCTCCTAGTAGTAAGGCCAGGAGCCCCTAGTAGCTTCTTGTTCCCAGTCCTTAGAAAAATGCCAAGTGCAGAAATGCAGAAAGTACAGAGCACCACAAGCCCGACCACTCGTTGGTTAGGCCCTAGCTGCTTTGAATGGGATGAATGGCCGGGAGTTCAATGGTCACGTGATGACCGTGCGCTTGGCCAACAATGATACCACAGGGCCACATCCAATTAGGAGGGGCGTGTCGATGTGTTGGCTTTAGACCTTGTGGTGAAACCGACATCTGGTTCCGGTTTCGATCAAACAAAAACTCCAAGTGGCCTATTGGACAGGAGTCCTCCACCTCCTGAACCTGTAACGCGAGGGACCAATCTTTACGTGAGTGGTTTGCCTCCAGCTGCTTTGGCCCGCAAAATCTGTGGACGGGAATCATGTCCAGGTGAGCATTTTGACACATGGATGTCCTACGGCGGGAAATATCGGAACATTTGGAGGAAAAGAACGGTTTTCATCAAAACAACCAGAACAACTGGGTTTTCTGCGCTTTGATGATTTTGTGGGTGCTCGGCTGTGCAAGCTTTCACGAACGTGACACCTGGTCTCGAATTGGCCTCAAGCCCCGGGCGAGCGGAAACCTTCCGTCGCCAAGCGATCAACGGCATCAACCGGCAAAATGGAGTTTAGAGGGCTACTAGCTAGCGCTACTAGGTTGGAGGCCATCACTAGTAGGATGGAGGCCATGGGGATTGAGTTAGAGGGCTATCAGATGTGCCTTGTGGTTTTGGGAGCTGCCCAGAAGGTTGGCATCCTGACAGCCTTTGACTTTCTTGATTCCAGATGGTGCACATGAACCGTCCACATGGCCGTTTTCCAAGGACATGGATGAAGCGAGGATGAAGGACATGTTTCAGAAATTCGGCAACGTGGTTTCCGTGAAATTGGCCCGAGAGGCCTGTATTTTTTTGGGGTGGGGGTGGGAACTTGAGATGGAAAGACATCTTGTGAAGGCCCGAATATACAAGCAGTATGGCTTTGTGCACTACACGGTGCCGGAGGAAGCTGAAGCTGCGATCAATGGTGTGAATAATCGGATCATTGCGACTCTTCAGCAGGTGAACTCGTGCCAACTCTCCATTCCCCGTCCACCCTCTCCAAAATCAAAGATGAGAGATGAACAAACGAGTCCGCCTCAAATGATTTCATGAACTGATTTCAAACTGATCGACTCTCGGTGAAGGACCGAGAAAGTTGCTAAGGACCGATATTACCAGCTCACCGTGAAATATGCCAACAGCTCAGAGAAGGCACAAGCTGCTTACAGAGCTGCTTCGCTGAAGAATATTGAAGGTGCTGCTTACAGAGCTGCTAAAACACACCTTCTCTTTTTCTGTTTTCAATATTCTTTCTTTGTGCTTTAGACACTGTTTCTTTTCTCTTTATCGGTGCTGCGAGCAGTTCAGGAAATGCCGGGAGCGGGACCCGGGCCTGGTATGGGGGGCCGTGGGAGGACCCATGGGAGGATCCATGGGAGCCTCGACGGGAGCCTCGACGGGAGCCTCGACGGGAGCCTCGACGGGAGCATCTGGTGCTTGGGCTGAGGAGGTGGCACCTTCTACAGTCCACATCAGCGGCTTGCCCCCAGGTGACCTCCTGAGTTTTCTAATGTCAAACTCAATTCAACCGCCTGTTACTGTATGCATTGGGCAGCAGGACTTGCCATGTAGCGGGATTTGTTTCAAGGCACTTCGGCTGATCAACTGCAATCCTTCTTTGGCGCATATGGTCAGGCTCCTTCCGGAGGTTTCAAAGTTTCCTTTCTGAAGGAAGATGTAGCAATGGCCTCCAACCTACTAATTACGTTTTTGTGGCGGCATACGGAGACCTTTCTTTAGATGCCATGAAGTTGTGGATAAGACAGCAGGTCTGAGGTCTTGGCCGCTTCGACTCCGCTGTGAGGAACAAAGAAAAAAGCAGCATCTCTTGTGCATTCTATGTTACTAGTAGCGATGCCCTTGTCTTTAGTAGCTTCTAGCTACTAGTAGTAATGCCCTTGTTACTAGTAGCTTAGGAATACAAACTTGAAATACTAATTTGCGAAGACCGTGAAATGTCATTCCAATCGTCAGGTCATGGCTAAAGTCTTGGACGATGGAAGCCAAGGTGGACTCAACTGAGTTCTACTTTGAACATCGAACAGCGCACTATGATGCACTATGATGCACTAAGAGCCCCTAGTAGCGTCCAATCGCTCCTAGTAGCGATGCCCTTTGCTCCTAGTAGCTTCACCTGTTACTACTAGTAAGGCACTTGTTTCTACTAGCTTATTGTTACTTGTAACAACATTGCACTCTCGCTGCACTACGCCGTGAATGCGCAAGGCTCTCCAGCCTCTGCCTTGCTGCGATTGCCACCAGCAGAGGCTGAGCGTTTAGTGGCCGACTTTGATGGACATGTCCTGCAAGGCCAGACTAAACGAGAAAGGAAGCGGCATGGATGGCACGGGGTAAAGCTTCCTTCGTTTTCCGCCTTTCTTCGCAAAGTCCGAAACAAAAGAAGCGTTGGTTTTTAGACCGGTTCAGCAAAATTGCAGAAAGAATGCGAAAAACCGGCGTTCTTTTCACCTCCAAAGATCACGGGTGTGCTCTTTCAGTCCGAGAATGGGGCTCCAGGCCCACGGGGGGCCTTACGAGACATGACGCATGTCTTTTGTTTTTCTTTGTGTTTTTGCTTTTAGTTTTTTTGGTTTTCTTATATCTTTTAGTCGTTTTTCTCCCTTGTTCATCTCCCTTGTTTCTTCTTTCTGTTCTCTCAAGTGTGAACCTATCCCCAGAGCGCTGCATGTTCAGGGCACGGGAGTTTAAACAAAGCCTCAACCACTTGCAGAGCGGCGTGTAGGCTGTCCCGTTCACTGCTGCTGTCACGGTGGATGACGAGAGAATCTGGTGAAAGCTGCCCAAAACCTCCCAATGAAGCATCACTTGGATCACTTGAACCGCCCATTGAGCGTGAAAGCATCATATGTTCTTTCGCTCAAGCCACTCCAACAAGCTCCTAGTAGCTTCTTGTTACTAGTAGTAATGCCAGGAGCCACTAGTAGCGAACATTGCTCCGTTCGTAGCGATGCCCTTTGTTACGTTCGTAGCTTCTGCCTTCATCGGCGTGGAGGTGGAAATGCTAATTGAACATGTCCACGACGTCTTCGATGCCAAATGCGCAGCCAAATGCAAGAGGACTCTGACATCAGCTTGCATTGAGCTTGGAAGGATGTCACTGAAGCTAGCATGTACTACGAGTGGGGAAGCAGAGCAGGGGTTTGGTGCTGGATTCTTGTTTTTGCTTCTGCCATCCATCTTGGAATGCTTGCCTTTTCCTCCTCAGCTACGGCATTCACACACTCATCCTCATCATGAGACCTGACAAGGCAAGGCCGTTCTTGCGCAACCTGCCACAGCAGGTGGGTCTGGCCTGACAAGCACAGGCTTCTCGTCTCGACTTGGCCGCGACTGCACTGCCTCTTTGAGCCGTCCCTTTTCTTACTAGTAGTAACAAGAAGCTACTAGTAACAAGTGCCACGCTAGTAGTAACAAGTGCCTTACTTGTAGTAACAATGTTTGCTTAAAAAAAGAATTAATTGCGTTGGGGCAATGTCTAGCTTCTTCCCGCGAGTCCTTCACACTGTTCTCGCACAGATGGATCAACCACGCCGCTCAGTTGGTGGTTTGGTTGACCGCTTAGCCACGCCTTCTCAAGTTTTGTCAAACATCTTGTCAGGCACAGGTGCACATAAATACCGACCAGCGTTTCAAAGTCTTCAAGAGCACACCCTTGCAGGGCCCTTGCAGGGCCCTTGCACTCCTTCCTTCTTGGTTTGGGGCTGACATGACACAGTTTCCGATGTTCAGCCTCGTTTGAAGATCCAGTTGCCTCTTCAGCTGAAGATTCTGAAGGCTTGGTTTCCGACTGTTTGAGTGCCACTTCAGTGTCACTTCAGACTCCATGCCGTCAACGGTTCCCTGTCATCTCAATTGCAAAGCATGGAGTCTTTGCCCAACGAGACGCACGGCCCTTTGCCGCGACCGGAGTGACCAGGCGTTCCTCTCCAAAATGCGGCTTTGGACGCAGATAAGCGTAGATCGCAACATTGAAATTAGGAGCTCAAGAATATTGGGTGCCTGTTAGGAGAGTTATTTCGGGATATTTCACGTGTGGGTTTGGAGGCCTCGCTAGGTTGGAGGACTTTGTGTGCATTGTTTGACAGGTTTGGAGCGTCCACTCTCTGTACGCCTGGTTCCGCCCGAGCGGCCGGTAGAGAAGGAGACCTCCTCCAATCGATATGAGCCCTACGGCAAGGTGGGTTGGAAGAAATTACACACGTTCATGGGTGGGAGAAATGTCATAAATTGGTAGACTAATGTTGCAACAAGGAAAAGAAGAGAACAGGTCTGAAGGTCCAAAGAAGGACGTCTTTCATTTTGCTAAGTCGCAGGGTAGTAGTTGAGGATAGTCAAGTCCAACACGTATGATAAACGCCCGAAAGAAGGAAAACGTTTAGGTAAAGAGGAAGAACATCTTTAAAAATGATGCCAGGCAAGCATGCTTTTTCCAATTGTGCTCTTGTGGAGCCATGCCCAGAGCTCTTCTAAGCAAAAGCATGGACATTGATTTAAGAGTTTGGAACATGTGCTCCAATTTAGGCCTACTAAACTCTTGTTTCAATGTCCAATGGTCCTTTCCAGAGAAGATCTCAGCCCGATTGCTTGACCAGGGAGGCTCATCTGGATCGCCACCGCTCTCGCAGATGCTACAAGCTGCCGAGTCTGCGTGGCCTGCCCCTCCCAAAGCAACAGGGCCCCCAGGGCCCAGCCCGGCCAGTCGCCTGGCACACGCGTTTCCTAGGTGAGAGAGGTGAGGTACTTCAATCAGCCCTTGCTGTTCAACATATCCATTGGGGAATTGATCAGAACTCAAAGTCCAGTTGGCGTTGGCATGAGGCACCGGCAAGGAGCAACATTTTGATCATGACAGTCTGATTAATTTGCTACTAGTAGCGTCCTTGCTCCTAGTAGCGATGCCAGGAGCCCCTAGTAGCTTAGCTTCTTGTTCCTACTTGATATATCATATCCACACAGTGTGGAATGCCGTCAGCGTGCGCTGCATCAAGGCTCCGAGTTCATGCTCGCGATCAGTGAGACGGCCACTTGGCAGATCGAAGTCCCGAAAAAAACGGGTCGTCTTCCTTTAGAGATCAAAGCGCTTGAAAGCGCTGTTAGGTTGGCCGGGAGTCCCCTTAGTAGCGTCCTTGCTCCGTTCGAAGCGATGCCCGGAGCCCCTAGTAGCGTCCGAGCGCTCCTAGAGACTGATCCCGGAAGCTTCACGTCTGGAACTGTGACCCCGGTTGGGCGCAAGCCCATCTCGGAAGACAGAAACCATCCAAGCGGCGCTTTGCAGCAAGTTCTGGCAGTCAAGCTTGAGGCCATCAGAACTGAAAGCCGAATGAAGCAGTGCTTCATCATTCATGACAGACGATGTTTTCGGATACATCGCAGGGATGTTGGGCAACGGCAGGCGTTTTCGACGCGTGACGGGTTGGTTGCTTCGGTCACCTTGCTTTGCAGTCTGCTACTGCTAGTAGCTGCCAGGGCTGCTAGTACACCCCTTCGGGGCAGAACAGATCGACAACACCGAGCTAAGCCCTGTTCCAGCCCGGTGTCAAAGGTTCTGCAGTGGGCTGGACGAATCAAATGCAGACCACTTTGAAGCATGTACTCCCCCAAAAAGCAAGGTTGCATGACCATGGGGCAGGTCCTCCCCATACATCCGGGCGCCGTTGAAGCTCCATGTTCACGAGGTTTTGGCCTCCTTCACTCCAAGTGCAACAGGTTAGCACCATTTAGCACCATCCTGAGATGGCCCCCACCCTATATCTATATACCTATCACCTGATCCAAGCGGGAAGCTCTGAGATGGAGTGACATGCCAGCGCAGTGGCGTCAGGTTTTCCGGTGTCGTGGAGCCGACGTGGAAGTCGGTCGGACACCGATCCGGAATGATCCGGAGCTCCAAAATGCCAAGGGCGCATGGCAAACCGTGCGAAACTGATCTAGACAGGTCCAAGCCTGGCTAAAGGGGCCTGAAGTCCGAAAAAGTATGCAGAAACTACGCAGATGTTTGCAAGTTTGAAGTTTGAGGTGCAAAGTTTGGAAGGAGCTCGAGGTTGCTTTGTTTTGCTAAACGCTGCTTAAGTGATAGTCTCTTGAGGGCCTCCAGGGCATCGCTACGCATCGCTACTAGGAGCAACATTCGGAACCGACGCTTTAGACCAAGGTGTCTCGAGTGAAAGGCTTCAGACCGGTGGCTCCTCAAACGATGGACCCCACGAATCTGTACATCAAGGGGCTGCCATCCAATGCCGACGAGCCTCTTGGCATCAAAGTCATGAAAAGTCGTTTCCCTAATAGCGGTGGCCTCCCTTTTTTCTCTTGTTTTGTTGGAAGTTCGGGTTCAGCCACCGTGAGGCTTTATCTTTACTCCATTTTCTCACCCTTTGGAGCCATTCAGAGCGTACGGCTTCTCAAAGATTCCACGACGAATGTGTGCACCGGAGCGGCCTTGCTGAAGTTTGGCCAGACCGAAGATGCCGACCTGGCCATCCGGACGCTCTCAGGAAACAAACTTCCTGACGGAGTGGTGTTTGACGTGACCGTCAAGACGGTGAGACCGAATATGGGCTAAAAGAACGAGGAAAGGAAAAAAACAAGAAAAAACATGACAAACTCATCAAAAGAACTTAGTGATTCCGAAAAAAAATCCTTTTCTACCAACACAGCTCGCCTTAGGACTTGGACTTCACTACCCTGTTGAACCCCCAAAAGGCAACAATTTCCGTTCGGGGGTAGGCTCAGTCAAAGACTACGACGGTCAACACGTCGGTAGACTCAGACTCAGAGCCGGTCGGCGAGAAAGAGGAGCAGAAGTTGGCAAGGATGCTACTAGTAACAAGTCATTGGGACACTTTTTCTCGATGTTGTCCATTTAAACTCATGTGAGCCAGAATCAATGTGAGGGTCTCCTGGTTTGTTCCGGCAATGCACCTGCACCGCAACCACGAAAGCTCAAAGGGGGGGCGAAGGCCCCTGCACCATCCTGCCCCTGTAGCCTTAGGGCGGAGTCTTGGCTCAAGTTCAAGGGTGTTGACCTGGGCAGTTTTGAAAGTGCTACGAATGCGTTTTCCAACAACCCGTAGAATGCCGCAGCCATAGCCGTTTGAGCCGTTTGGCTGAGGTCTCAAGGTGGCAGGAGGCGCAATGCGATTAATGAAGGTGCCTTTGGGAATGTGCTTAATTGCTAAATACAAGCGATGGCCTTCCAACCTACTAGCGATGGCCTCCATCTAATTGCAAAATATGTTTTGCGCTTTTGCCTTGGGAATCTCGCATTTTCGACATGCGAGGCCATTTTGGCATGCGTTCTTCCGGCTTGGGCTGCCAAACTCCCCAGGACGAAGCTTCAGAAAGCACAGCCAGAGTTTGAGTATCAATGAAGCTCTGCAGGAGTGATGAAGTTAAGGCTGGGAATTCTCACATGTTGACCAAGTGCCTTACTAGTAGTAACAAGTGCCACGCTTGTAGTAACAAGAAGCTAGTAGAAACAAGTGCCACGCTTCAAGTTTGGACAGCTTTTTCTGAGGCAGTGTTGGTCAACTTGCAGACTGGGTCGGCAGGGTCCAGCTGCCCGGAAAACCAGTTCCCTGTGGTCAACCTCACTGTTGAGGGAATCGCAACTTGGCAAGTTTCTACTGTAGGCACTGTAGGCCGTGCTAGAAGGTTCAACTGAGAAGTCTTGCCAGCTTGAAGATGTCAGGGATATCACGAAGATGTGCTTCCTGGAGCCCAAACCCAGAAGTTGCAAGAACATTTAGCTGGTCATCCGGAATCTTGCTTGATATATTTTGAGCTTTTTGGCCGTTTTGACTGAAAGCTGACTCAAAGCCGTCGTTTGCATTGGCCTTTTTGCTGTTCTGAGGATTGGAGCATTGGAAAGCCTTGGGTCCTGAGCCTTACGGCCAAATCCTCGGACATCAAGGATCGAGAATTTGGCTTCGCGGGTGGCGAAGGCTTTATGGCACCTTGGCCGAGCCACATCCTGTTGGAGCACATTTCAGGTTATTTCAGGTTGTTTTTTGTTGGGAGGCCATACTTTGGATGGCCATCGCTATAGTACTTAGTAGGGTGGAGGCCATCGCTATAGATTCCACTTTGGGAGCCATACGAAAGCTCCTGTGTTGTACCACCCATTTGTTACAATGGAGGTGTCCCCACAGATCAGTTGACCTTTCAGCGATCTTCCCACGTGACTTGCTATGTGGAAGATGAGTTCGGAATACCTTCAACGAAGCAACAACAGTCTGGGATTGGAGGAAGGTGCCCCCTTACTCCATACCTATTTGTGCTGGTAATGACGGTTGTTGACCATGACGTGCCAGAAAACCTGACATAGACTTTGACAGAATCTATGCAGATGACACGGTTGGTCTCACGAACAATGCAGTTAATGGACTTCCCTGGGCCGTTGGCAATCCCTGAAACTGAGACATGAAATAGGGCTCAGAATGCAACAAACGATGAGAGGGCGTGGTACAGGCTCGAACCTTTTTGGAAAGCAGCAAACTGCACAACTGGATGGAAACTCCGTGTTTACCAAGCCGTTCAAAACAAACTCATGGGTCTTAGCAGTTCAATACAAACTTCGAGGACGTAGGATGTTTTTTCGGACGGTGTCCCAGATGGCAGGACGCGAAGTACTGTCTTCGGACCCACTTCTCAGAAAAAAAGAACCGCTCTTGCCGGACACATCCTGCGAACTGACAACAGTGACCCCTTGAGACAAGTTTTACTTATTCACCTGATTCAGCTAACAGTTATCCAATTGGAAAAGGGAGAGTCGGATGAAAAGGCAGAATGTGAAAACACAGAAGGACAAAACCAGAAAATCCATCGAATGGCTCTCGCACAACACTTGGAGGGGAAACACACCGGTTGCCAATGCGTGTCAACCTCCAAAATGTGCCTAGGCAAGAGCGCTACTAGGGGCTCCTGGCACCGCTACTAGGAGCGATCGGACGCTACTAGGAACAAGTGCATCGCTTCTAGTAACAAGTGACCTACTAGTAGTAACAAGAAGCTACTAGGAACAAAGTGCATCGCTACTAGGAGCGATCGGACGCTACGAACGGGGCTCCTGGCCTCGATGTGCCTAGCATAGCGACGCCCAACAGCCTGAGGTCTTTAAGGTCCCAAGGGCTGGCCGGAAGAACATTGTGGTCACCGGCAGCGTGGAGAGCCTGGCGGAACATACGCGGTTGGAATATCGAGGCAACGAAGTGATCACCGCACCAGGCGCCATCATCTTCACCAACGTTTGCCTCCGTGACATGGTTCTTTTAGAAAGCTTTTGCCAAATGCGGTTCCAATAGCGATGGCCTCCAACTTATAGCAGCTTCTTGCTACATAGTAGTAATGCCCTCGTTGCTAGTAGCTTCTTGTTCCTAATGGCGATGGCCTCCATTCTTATAGGGTTCGGTATCCCAGTTGCTTCAGGATTTACTCTCCAAGGACCGATGACTTGTGAGCACTTCCTCACCCAGAATCCAAGCATGTGCAAGGATGGCCTTTGGAGTCCTAAGCCTCATCCCGAGAAGGTCACAGGCCACACCAGGCCAGGGCTTCTGGCCCGACAGAGTCTGGCAATTTAGGCACTTGTTACTAGAAGCGATGCACTTGTTACTAGAAGCGATGCACTTGTTCCTAGTAGCTTCTTGTTACTACTAGTAAGGCACTTGTTACTACTAGTAAGGCACTTGTTACTACTAGTAATGCCAGCGCCAGGAACACCTGCTGCCAAAAGATCCGTTGTGAGGATGCTGCGCCCTGCGTTCCTCAGACCAAGTACGACAAGAGGCCATTGCGGAAGTTATGAGTTTAATGACGTGCTGGCCAGCTGAGACGATGCAGCAAGAGTGACATATGCAAAGTGCCACAAGCACACATTCTTTCCTAGTGGACTACTGTAGGTCCAATAAGTGTTGCTTGGATCACTTGGATCTGAGCACAATATGACCATTACTGTGTCATTACTGTGTTTCAATTAGCTTCCTTTTCCGGGTCAGCGAGGTGGCTTGTGGGACGTTTGCGCAGGCCGGACTACAGCAAAACCTTCGGCAGCAAGTCACTTGAATTGTTGCCATTTGCATAGTGGCCCGATGTGTCATGTAGAATTGACTGGTGCAAGAAGCAGGCATGTAGATGCCGGCCGCTGCTAGCCTTCTCCTTTGGCACTCCACATGCCTGCCTTGGAATCTTGAATGCTTGTCGACCCCAAAGACGCAAAGGCAGAGGTTTTGGCCTTTACTATCCACATCTCGGCCTTTGATCTTGCCACCGCTGACGATTCTTCAAGGTCTTAAGACGTCTTAAATCTGAAATCACCCCTGCTGCAAAAACACCTTTGAGGCAGTGTTTGTGCTTTTTTCCTGCCCCCAACCGGTACTTATTATGCACGTGGCTTTCCACTAAGAACCATTTGACTCAGCACCCTGAGGCCAGACCAATGCTGCCTTCCCAAGCTGTGCACGGGTAGCGTTTGCAACTCCAGCGGATGGGAACCAAAACCCGCTTTTCACATTTTGGGCAGCACGTTGAGCGAGTGCTGCACACCACGTGACTGTGATGATTACACTTGCAGTGCGAGAAGCGTCAAAAAAGCCGAAAAGGTGCCTTGGATATTGACGATGCGAGTGCGAGTGCTGAAACAGCTGGTGCAAAAAAATGCCGGATCTGTTGTACTTGTAGGTTGGCATGTTGCAATTAGGCTATGAGGTAGATGAGTCGACGAGCTGGAGGGCAGCATAGGCTGGCGTGCCACGTCCCTGCTCTATGACTCCATGAGGTATGATGTGCAGGGACAAGCAATTCTACAACAAGGCAGTACGGACGAGGAATGCTGTGATCCCATCTCATGTGGCTCAGCTGCAGGGCCATGCAGGGCCATGCAGGGCCGCAGGGCCGTAGGGCAAGCACACACTCATGGGATCAACAGTTACTACTAGTAAGGCACTTGTTCCTAGTAGCTTCTTTTTAGTCCTTTTTTCTCCGGTTTGTTTGGCCAGTTTCCGATTCTCTTTTGGCCAGACTGAGCATGTGGAGGTTCGCATGTGAAGTGCGATGCGACCGATGAGTGGGCAAGGAATAGAAGTGCCACTGTTGGCAGCAGTTTGGAGGAGACATGCTGCTACCCACAGATGGCTCCAGGTTTGTGCGAAACGAAATGGGCTTTACAGTCTAATTTTCCAAAAAACAGCTAGGAACCAAATGAATAGTGTGAGCGTGAGCTATGTTGCGTCCTAGGTAGTAGCGTCCTACTTAATAGCTTATTTACTGTAGCACCTTCTCTAGCGGCCTACTTCCCCCCTAACAGCAATGGCCTCCAACCTATTTGGCCTCCAACGATGGCCTCCAAACAACTAAAAAACAACCAGTTCAGGACGGTTGACGTTCGCTCTGCACACTTTCTCTCACGCCGCACTTGGAGACCCAAGATTTGGAGCTGAGCTCGCTCGCCAGGATTGCTGTATTCCCTTGTATTGTGCGAAGCACACCTGCGAGCCGGCCTCGCAATGGGAAAAAAAATCCACATGCAATTTTGGGTAGCAGCAACTCGGTGGACACTGGCCAGTTGTTGGAATGCATGTGCTACTGCCATAGCAGCTTAGCAGTTCAGTTGGTGGTTTAGCTGAGGCAATCCAAGCTGTTGCAAACCCAAGCTTTGCAAGGATTTTAAGTGTGAGGAAGGTTTTGCCTTGAGGTGGGGTTAGGTGGAGTTTGTAGTGCATTCTATTCATTGAAAGCTGCTTTTGCTGTCCGTCGTTCCCATTTTCATGTTAGCTCTCCCTTCTGTGAGGGCTGGCGCGGTCTTTGGCCAAAAGCAGCTCAGAGGCAGCTCTTCAGAAGAGTGTTGCGAGAAGAAACTCTGCAAGAACTGGAAATGCCACTTGGCCAAAATGAATCAGTAACAAGAAGCTACTAGGGGCTCCTGGCCTTACTACTAGGAGCAAGGACGCTACTAGGGGCTCCTGATAGACTGTGTTGGGCACATCGTGTCTTCGTTCGAAGGCAGTGATCCCAGCAAGTGGATTCAAAAGGCGGATGAGACGAGTCAGGATATCGCAAGGCATGGGTGGAGCGACGAGGTGGGCGCATCCACAAACCAGCCTTGCACTTGTTGGTTGGAACGCTGTTGGGCGGCAACAGCAGCAGGAACTTTACTAGGAAAAGTGAGTGGCAGAAACGCAAGTCTAAAGGACTAAAGCCAACAAAAGCTTCCTTGTTACTAGTAGCGATGCCCTTGTTACTAGTAGCATCCTTTTTGTTCCAGCTATAGCAGTTTGCGACTTCCAAGACGCAAAGCCCCCCCTGAGTCGCAAGGGCATAAGAGGTGACGTTCAAGGCCAAAGTTTTAGCAACTTTCCAACACTTGGTTTATGCATTTTGCCTTTCTGAGATACTGTATGTCCTGCAAAGTGTCTTGCAAGTGTCCCTTTTCTTCCAACTTTTTAGCACATCTTTTTTTGGGGGAGTAATTATGTAGCCACACACTCGCACGCACTCACTCGCGCACTGCATGGCAGTGCTTGAGATGAAGCTGAATCTCACACAGAACATGCCCACAGCAGCGCCCGCAGTTAGGGTTTCTCAAAGCGTTTCTGAAAGACTTTGTGTCAAAAAATCGCTCCCATGGTTTTATGTGGTTCCTTGATTTCTAGCCTTGAGACTTACCTTTGACTGTTTGTTCATTGTTCTTTGATGTTCTCTTACCCTTCCTAAGTGTACACTAAGTTAAGTTTCCCTAAACATATAGGAGCCAAATCATTAGTGCCAGGGTTTCTCCATTGAAGCGTGAGCTATCCTGCGTCCTATCTAGAAGCTAGTAACTAGTAGCCCTTAATTAAGTAGGAGCGGGCTTTCTTTGTTACTACTAGTAACAAGTGCCTTACTAGTAGTAACAAGTGCCTTACTACTAGTAACAAGAAGCTAGTAGAAACAATTAAACAATTATTAAACAAAGAAGCTAGTAGATGGCTGGTCACTGGCTAAGAGCTGCCTGTTTGGCAGGAGTGCTGTACACCGATCTCGTGCAGCAGTGTTGACTGTGTACCTGAGTCCTTGTGGAGTCCCAGATGCCTGGTGGCTTTAACGCTTTGAGACATGCCTGCTTTGCTAGCTTCAATGCCCCTTGCTACAAGAGCGCCTGTCTATCCTTTTCGTTTTAATTAGCAGACCCGTGGCCGTGGCGGAGCTTGGCGAGCATTAGCACCAGGGCAAATGCGAGGCCATCTCATTTAGTCTACCCCTGCTGGTGTGCCTCAGCGAATGGCTCTGCAAGGAGGAATTGCTACTAGGAGCAAGGACGCTACTAGGGGCTCCTGGCATCGCTACTAGCAACAAGAAGCTAAGGAGGAATTGCTGAGCAAATCATGTGGCCCACTGACTTGTGTTTGAAGAGAAACCGGCCTGTGAAAGTCAAACCTCCCTCCACACTCTTGAAGGGTGTTGTTGGACTTTTCTATAACCCTGCTCATTAGAGTAAATCCAAATGATATACTTGGTCCTACTCGCTGCTGTGCTGCTTTGGCAGGCGCAAAATTCTTGAATGGACACGTGGAAAAAAGGACGTCCTTTCTAAATGCAAAAGCTAACAATTGGGATAGCG